AACTACAATACGTTAACTTTGAATCAAAATTTTAAAAGGAAACTATTAAATTTTTTTTATATTATAATTGAATTATTTACAACGCCAAAGGACAAGCAGGTTGTGCTGTATTAGGTTCTGCTGGCGGATTATTATCCTTTTTCTGATGAGAATTGAAAGAATTATATTCTACTGAATTATATTCTGCTGAATTATATTCTACTGAATTATATTCTATTGAATTATATCCTGCTGAATTATATTCTACTGAATTATATTCTGCTGAATTATATTGTACTGAATTATATTCTGCTGAATTATATTGTACTGAATTATATTCTGCTGAATTATATTATACTGAATTATATTCTGCTGAATTATATTGTACTGAATTATATTCTGCTGATTTATATTCTACTGAATTATATTCTGCTAAATTATATTGTACTGAATTATATTCTGCTGAATTATATTCTACTGAATTATATTCTGCTGAATTATATTCTACTCAATTATATTTTTTCTAAATTGTTATAAATAATTGCGAGCGATTTCACAAGAAAGGAGGATAAAACCTAGATGGCACAGAAATTGCTGATAATTCGAAAATGTTGAAGTTTTCTTACGTTTAATACAACCCATTACATAAAAGTTAAAATACTTAGTCGGAAATTCAAGTTAAGAAATTAAAAACCTGTTTCGTTCATAATAAAGTTGTTGTTTTGCTTATTTTTTCATGCATGTTTTCAACTATCGAATTAGAATGAACGACTAGCGTTACTTGTTTACCCACTTTCATGACAACTTCAAGTATCACGGCGCTTGTATTTGTGGTATTTTAAATAAAAGACAGTTCATATTCCAATGAAATAAATATGTGTGAAAATGTCATAAAATATTTTTCCTTTCATTTGATACCACAAATAAGTCTCACTTTACACATGTATCAAAATGTTTCCGTGAGTAACTGTATAAAGAATTATATTTTATAACGACCATATTTGAGGCTGTATTACACTGTGTGGAGCACTAAGAAACTAAGAAAGGCGCGTGTTTCCCGATAAGTGTAATGACTAGATCTAGGCCAGGCATGGCCAGGTGGTTAGGGCACTCGACTCCCAATCTGAAGGTCACGGGTTCGAACCCCCGTCACACCAAACATGCTCGCCCTTTCAGCCGTGGGGGCGTTATAATGTGACGGTCAATCCCACTATTCGTTGGTAAAAGAGTAGCCCCAGAGTTGGCGGTGGGTGGTGATGACTAGCTGCCTTCTCCCTAGTCTTACATTGCTAAATTAGGGACGGCTAGCGCAGATAGCCCTCGTGTAGCTTTGCGCGAAATTCAAAAACAAAAAAAACTAGACCTAATGAAGTTGAGAAATAAGATGGTACGAAATCAGTAAATTGAGGTCACAAAATTTAAAAACTCATAGGAGCTCTAATAATTGGAAATCGCCCCATACCAAGATTAAACAGCATTCACGAATTACGTGTATTAAACTTCATAACGGCTTAAGTTAAATTGATATCTCATAAAACCATATTATTTACTCACCTGGCATAAGTAAAAATAACAAGAACATACATTCGGAGCAACGAAAGAAACATATAATATCACAAGTACTGCCGACTTGATTATCTAAAACATGGAGACATATCAAACCGCATAAAGTACGGCCACTTATACAATATAAAAATCAGACAGCTTTCTGGTGCAATAAATCAACAACGGTGTATGAAGATAATTTTTCTCTACCGTGCCTCACGTATCACTGAGTAAATATTTTACAGAATCATTTTCAAAGCAATTAACTTCTGAAATCACATGAAATAAACTGTATTATTTGGCTGACTTATTTTTAAAACTTTTACCAAATTTGTACTCGAGATACGTTACAAAAAAAGATTAACTTCAGTCTTTCAGCCTTATTTTTCTGGGTGAAACGATGGAATTACACCCTCCGTCACCAATATCCTCAACTTAAGACAATAAGATACAGCTTCCTTTGAAAAGTAAACGCTTAATATTTTATCCATTGTTTATTGTTCGTTTTAAGTCTATAATAAATACAAACATGTATTATTTTAGAACATATGCCAGATTACCTAATATAAAAAAAGAGATACTATTAAGCCTTCAAAAGCTCGCTTTTCAGGAACATATACTGCAAGTATGATTCACGTTGAATTGTGTCCTTCAGAAACTAATTGCTTTATCAGTGATGATGATAGTTAAACATTAAATATAATTTTTATACCGTGTCACCGATTTCTTTAATTTCACTTGATTGTTTTAGCAGATGAAAAGTTGCGAGTTTCCAGGAAAATAATTATCGTGAGATTGTGAAACAAAGCATATTTTATTACACTGAAGAACACATCTCTGATGTCCTTGTAGCGCATTTTAATGCCTTGTACAGATTTGGCAATCATGATTGCAAAGTGGTATTAAAAGATACCAAATTTTCAACTATTCAGAGATTGAGGTAATTTGAAAAATATGTCAAACTGAAAGCCAATAAATTCAACGTTACGAATAATACGTGAATGGTGCCTAATACAAGAAACAAATGGCCACTTGCAATAGAGTTTTTTTTCTGTAAATGTCAGAATTATTTAAGGTTTGATTATTGTTGTTTCAGTAACCTCAAAATATGAGAGCAAATTATTTGACTAGAAAAACAACAACAGCCATTTGTGATGTAAGACTAGCCAAGTGGTTATAATGTGCCATTTTCTGTTAAAAGTTTCTTCCATGTTTTTTACGCCCCCCCCCCCCCAGTGGCACAGAGGTATATCTGCAGATTTACAACACCAGAAACTGGGTTTGAATACCCGTGATAGGCAGAGCACTAATAGCCCATTATGCAGCTTTGTGCTTAATTCCAAACAAACATGTTTTTACACCTCCTTGTGAACTGTTTCACTGCCACGTTTATACATAAACAATTTTCGTAGTGCCAGGTTTACTTTTATATACTCAACATAAAACAAAAAGACGCGTGTTTTTAAATCAGAAAACTGTTAATCTCACTTTTAACTTTACGTTTTTCTAACCTTTCTCTGACCGAAAATCTACGTCCCGTGACTTTACTTTATCATCTGCTCTGTCTATCTACTCTTCCCGCTCGTCTCACACTACTTATATATTTATCACTTAATGGACTGGTCGCCTTCTAGAAATCTCTATATTATCGACACCAGTAAATTTCACGCGACGTTTGATAGCCTCAACATCAATGAATTATAAACACAAGTTCCAATAATTGTCTGCTTTTAATTCTCTTATTATAAAACAACTAAACAATCATGAAATATTAACTCACAAAATAATTAATCAATACTACCTACGCTAAACAGTCTTTTATATCATGACGAATGATCACCCAGATAATAGTGACAATCAGGCGTTTATTGTTTGAATGGAAATGAATCATGGTTATTTAATAGTTTTTCAAAATGTTATTAGGAAAGAACAAACTAATAACAAATGGTTACGGTTAAATCGGAGAACAATTCAAGACATAGTAATCACAGGTCCCTTAAAAAAAAGGGACAAATATTTGTTGTAATTGTAGCATTTTTATACCCGCAGGGCGAAAAAATCTATACATTTAAGTTTAATTAAAAGAAAACATTATATATATAGTCTCACGTACAGCTTATTTTGAAAAATTTAAGCGAACACTGTAAGCTTAGTTTGTTATGAATTTGGCGCAAAGCTACATGAGGTGTATCTGCGCTAGAGGTCCCTAATTTAGCAGTGTAAGACTAACGAATAGTGGGATTGACAATAACATTATAACGCTACCGCGGCTGGAAGGGTGAGCATGTTTGGTGGAACAGGGATTTGAACACGCAGATTGCAAGTCGAGTGCCCTAACCATTTGGCAATGCCAGGCCTCACTGCAGGTAGTCGCATACGCAAGTTTAACGTAAGTCACACCCAAAGAAAGAAAAAATATATTCTTTGTAATGTAAGCAAATCGTGAAATGAGAACGTGACTTGAAACAAGACTAAACTGTTCTGTTGCAGTCTTTTCTACATATTCCAAGGTTAATATCTGTATGTATTCCTCAAGGTTTCAAAAGTAAGGTCCAGAATAAAACTGGAATCAGTGAGAAGAACAAAGAATGATTTGCATAGCACCCTCTACATAGTATATTTTTGAACACTTTTTTTAGTGTGATATAATTTGTTTGTTTGAAGTTAAGCACAAAGCTACACGATGGACTATCTGTGCTCTGCCCATCACCGGTATCGAAACCCAATTTTTAGCGTTGTAAGTCTTCAGATGTACCGCTGTATCACTGGAGGCTTTGTGATATATCTTTTGTTGATGGGCGACAGACACACCACTATCTACCTACATAAATAAAATAAAGAACTGACGGAAATCTAATCAGAATTAAACACATATTGATCGTCATTAAGTTTACAAGGAACACTTAAAGTGGAAAAATTACGGCAATAAGTAAGTAAGTAAAATATTATCAAATTACCAACGATGTTTGATAAATGTATAAATAATTACATGAGCCTAATGAAAATATCCATCACAACCCATTCAAATATTTTACAAAGTTTCAAAACCCAGTGTTAATTCTACTATTTTTTTCAGCTAATAAGATAATAACACTAAATAATTACTGATAGTTTAGGTTAAAATGTTCCATGTTTATTTTGTTTTAAAAATAATTACAGTTTTGTGTAAGAGCTACGCTACAGAAATTTTAAATGGAAATTAATTTTTTTTTCTTTTCGTGTTTTTGGTATTGTATAGTAAAAAAGCAACACTTTTTATAGCTTTGAAAATAAAAATAAAAAGTTAATTGCCGCAATGTAATACTTTTGTTTGATAATCCTATGCTTATCCATTTAGCAACATTACAAGAGGTTGAATAAACAAATGTGTATTCACGTGAATTAACAAGAAAGTCGCTTTCCTTCACCTGAAAACCCAACCTACTTGTTTACAAAGTGATCTAACGTTATATATAGTCCGTAAAGAGAACGCTATTATTTAATCCAAAACAAGTGCAGCATAACCTGAGCTCCAGCTTCTCATACGCACCACAATGGAAACGTCATACATTGTGTGTCTCGTCTTGGCATTTGGTAAGTGTGTACATTTTGTAAGAGTTATACACGGAATTTCTTCCGAACAATTCTTGTCACAATTTGATTGAACTATTAATCAAAATATCTTAGACTAGCGTTTCTCAAAATATGTTCCGCGGAACACTGGTGTCCCGTCCGAGATTTGTTTGTTTGTTTGTTTTTGAATTTCGCGCAGAGCTACACGAGGGCTATCTGCGCTAGACGTCCCTAATTTAGCAGTGTAAGGCTAGAGGGAAGGCAGCTATTCATCACCACCCACCACCAACTCTTGGGCTACCCTTTTACCAACCCGTCCGAGACTGATAAGTGCACTGTTATAAATCCATGATTTTAAATTTTAATAAAATACTAGACCACCATGACCCGTTGGGTCAACCACTATTCAGAGGTTATGAATAATTCAAGCTTAATTTCAATATTATTTTGAGATAATTTATCTAAATATTTCAATCCATTCGTGTTATTCATAATTCAAGAAAAGATATTTGATTGTTGTCATCTTAAGTCTTTT